TTTCACATGAATCCATCGTGCTCAGATTCGACTGTTTTCAAGGTCTGAAGGCTCCAACAGCCTTATTTTATGGGTACACAAGAGAATTTTCAGTGTGGCATGCATGGGTCAGTTGGAGTCACTAACCTCAAGATATCTATAAGCAAGGATAAGATAACCTGGAAGTAACATTCCATAATTTAGAGTAAAAAATGTATCTGCCTCCACAGCCCTTTCAAATGGAAGATATGATGCCTCGGGGGTAATTTCTATCAAATATTTTACAGTATTATGGTTCTAGTGAAAAGGGGTGTAGGCGGCTTTTTTTAAAGTGTGGTAGGTCTAGTCGAAAGACACATTAAATGTTTATGCTAACAACTGCAAATTAATATTGCAACGCATACAAGTTAACAGAATTTGTTGAAATGGTCCTGCCTTTTGCCTTTCTTCAAAATCCCCCTTTTTCTAACTATTCTCTTCCTCTCTGAGGATGGCGAAAATTCAAATATCGATGGGACATATAAGCAGCTGATAATGGGTTATCTTCCCTTTTTCCTGAAAATAAATTAAACACTAATCATCATTTGACAGTGCCAAGTTTGTGTATCAGATCAGTAATAAATTACCTGCTAACTAACAAAACAATCAGACAACACCTTCTGACCATTAATGAAGATTTCTTTCAATTTAAAACGCAACTATGCCTACCAATGTGGGTAGTTTTTAGGATAGAATTTATCTGTGGTTGGGGACAGATTGCAAGGTGCAACATCGTACGATTACCATTCTATGTCGGGATTAGTTAGCCAGTTATTTGTTTTAGAAGCATGGACTTGATGGTGGGGGATGTCGTAATCGACCAGCGGTCGTGTGAACCACCCTCAGTGGGAGGAGAGCTGCAATCCCCTCGCACATAACTATCCCCGCATGGGATTGGAACCTGTGAAACTCCCAGGGGGATCAGAGATGCGGTGGCGAGCGTATTCTTAGATGGAGAATTCAATTGAATTCTGGTTATTTTTTGCATTAGCACTGGCGTTAAACTTTAGTTATCTATTCAACTTTTCACACTTACTAATAGATTACCTGCTAACTAGGGAAACAATACCTTATGGCAATTATTGATTAATACCTTACACGAGTCAAGTCTGCAAGTAGGCCTACCAATAACAGTAGTTTGTCATCTGCTTTCCATTGAAATGAGGGAGCTTATGAATATTTAAAAAAATTGATAACGGCACATTATGACTCACCATCAACGAAGTGCTGTCCGCAAACAGTGAAACACAAGTGAGATGGCTTCTGGACTTGACACCAAGCAGTCCTGCCAATAGATGATATCCACATTGCGCGACGTTCCGGATCTTTTGAAAACAGTGGAATATAACTGAAGATCCATTTCGTTGTCTATACTATACGTACAGCCAGCGGAACAATACGAAATAACCATTTTCAACAGCCAAACAAGACGGAAACGTATAATCCGACTTGCAACTGACAGGAGCCAAATGGACGTTTTTGTTTTATTGCCGTCCAGTAAACAAGGTCACGTGACCCGTGCAAATCCTCTATACTAACCTGTTGTTAACAGCGTCATCTAGTGTTGGCGTGAGTAATTCATAACCGCGGCGTCGTCTGCTGTATATTTTAGGCTGCTCGCTGTTAACGGTATTCAAAGTTCGGATGAAAATGGATTTATGTGAAGAAGAAATGCTTGAATTTTTTGATGACGTGAGTTATATAGTATTGATTGCTTACTAAAATCGTTTGATTCTGAATGAATGAATAGTAAAAGTCTATAGTACCGTAGTTTAATATATGAAAGTTTTTGTTTTGCTAAAAATTTGGTCAATATTTTTACATCACATTTGTTTTGCTTTATTCAAGCACTTATGCACTGTTTTAGACCCGATTTTATATATTTTACAGCTTGATGACGAGATAGAAGGAAAATGGGGCATATCTGTAGTATAAATCGACTACGGAAGTGTTGATTGCAAGAAGACACAGACTGCATTGAATGATTTGAACATCACATCAAATCAGAAATCACCACTATGAGCAGAAGTTATAGCGGATATGATCGAAATTTCTAGGGAAGAATCCAGAAGTAAAATATGGCAAAAGCCATATTCGTGCAATTCTGAAATCTCTCATTTGGGCCTAAAACGCATAATCAAAACTGCAGTACCAAAAATTATGAAAGAAGCGTTTCAAGTAACCCAAGTAAGTCTAGGCTTGCACGTAATTGACAAAAATCAATTCCGTAATTACGGCCAAATTGATTACGTAATGACCCCGTAATTGCGATATTCTTTCACACTTTTAAACCTATCATAACAACCAATTTAATCCACTTCTATTCCGGATGGGACATCGACAGTTGGGACAGTTTGGTTTCCATATTTCCGACAGTACTACACGCCGGCGACAGATGCTAAAGACGAATATCAAGGAGTGAATTCAAATTAATTGTATTCTGATTTTTATCTTTTGTGTTAGCTTTGATTTTTCTTTATCAACTTTATCACCCAATTTTATGGGATCAATCAACGACGAGCGTATTCTCTCGTTTGATTATACTTGCGCTTGCCTCGCGACGAAGACTTGTTATTGTACCGTTTTTTTACATTATCCGACTTTACTACCTAGTTAGCATTTTATAATAATTATTGATGCCGACTTATTGACGATATTCCGATTACCATGCTTCATTTTACATTAAATCATTTCGCGGCCTAAATGTTATAACATTATTTGCGATAAATTTAGATCAAATATTAATTATTTGCGCATAATTTAAATACCGTACTTATATGACATGCCTTCTCCGAAAATACAAAGTTATATCGCAAAACAATGCATTTGGTGACATTTATTTTGCACTCACGAAAATATTAATTTACTTTTCTAACTCAAGTCGACAATCCTATCGGCTAAGATTGACACAAGTTTGGTCGAGTGCCGGTGGTATTTGAGTCGACGATAAATCAAAATACGTTGCCGCATTTGGTAAAGACATATTTGGCCGAAATAGCGCGCGGCATTGTGAAAACAAGGCCAAGTCCGGACAGATATATAACGATAAAACTGGTAACAGAACATCAAGATTTTGTAATAGAAAATGGATCTCGCGCAGAATAAACATGGGAAATCCCGTCTTTTTGTTGTTTTTCTGCCGTCTGAATCGCTTTACCGATGCCGAAAAGACTACGGTAAGTTGCGTTGGTTCATTACGCAATTTCTCTTCCGTCGTCATATTGCTGTTTGATAAGCGCGACATTAATTATCACGGCATATACAAATAGACCATGTTTGGTAAGTTGATCTCTTACATTCTTTAGTCATTTCACCCGAAGAAGTTGAAATCAGGTGTGTTGGCATCCATCGGTCTCAACACAATTCTATCCCATATCTACGCTTAATATGTACATTTGCCATGCTAGATAAGTTGATAATAGGTTAGTAAATAGCAACGCGTTATGCCTTCTCCATCTGCATAACAAGAGAGAGAAAAACGGCTGCGAATACCGGAACTCTAACTTCTTCTACTTATTAAACTTTAATTTTTTACAATCGACGGAATTGACTGCTCTAAAGAGAGCTCGTTTCAATCGCGAAAGCGCTCCACCAATAATTACGAATTTACGTAATTCGTAACTTCGCTTCCGTAACTCGAAATAATTCCCTAAATTACGTGCAAGCCTACAAGTAACTGAGCCATTTATGCAAACGTCAATAACCAAAGACGACAAAAAGGTGATTGAGTACCTAGCTGGAGGATTGCTAAAATGGGGAATAAAGCGTCCAGGTGGAGAAGGTGCTTCCTAGTGCCAAAACCAAGCTTCGGGGCGTGATCTTCCCAATTGGTTTGAAGAGCGCAATAGAGGTGGTCTCATATCAGCATCCGAAACATTTGTTCTCTTCCTAATCTCTGTGGAACGCGAATTCCGGTCTCAAGTATGCAGAAGGGTAATTGATGAACGCCATATTATCGGAAATATTGACATGGACCCCTTCAGCCCCAGTGAATCCAGTATTCTGACCACCCTTGTGAGAAGATTTATTTGAACGAGGGCCCATATACCTTGCAAGACTGAACTGCAGAACAACACTTCGAAATAAAATATGGACCCAAATCATATGGACTTCGCTCGCGATGGTTTGAAAAATTGTTTTTCCAAATATTCTCATTATTACACTATAATTAAAATTAGCCAACAAAACAATTTCTACTTTGTGTTTTTAGCATAAGAAATACCAAAAAAAAAAACTGAACAGGAATTTTGACTCAAATATGAAAAATCACACAGACCTGGTAGAGAAAAATGACAAATGCACAAACCAATAATTGATAGCTAATTTTAAAACATAGATGCGGTTTCACAAATTTGAATAAAATTTTACGAGAGATAGGGAAAACTTTTCAATTTGAATTCAGCCTCTCAAATAGGAGGCATTTTTAACGAATAAACCATCGATTAATATTCATATAAAATATAATTTTGGATACATCCATATCCATGTATTTAAACAGAAAGAATTCAGCTTCTAGAAATTTATCAATCAATTTCAATCGCAACATTAGAACCAAAAACACTACTACTCGATTCTAAAACATCTATTGATCTGGAGTTTGATGTGAATAAACTAAAGGTGGGGTTTCCAGTACGGGAACCTCGCTCTCGTTGGTGACCAAAATATGCCTCTAGAACAGGGGTCTCCAACTCAAAACATGTCGCGGGCCACTTTTTGAAATTTATTGGCCATGCAGGCCACAAACCAAGAAATTAGGTACAAAAATGAGTATCTGAATGTATTGTGTTGAAATTACACTTAAATCTTACAGCAAACGAAACAGGGGTCTGCAACTACGGGGTTGCGACCCAAATTTGGGTCGCGAAGCACTGCGCTCTGGGTTGCAAAACAATTTAAATTTGCCATAATTGTGAGCATCGCGTCTGTGTAGCGTATTTAGGTATAACAACTATATAAATTATGGATGTTTTTCCGAGAATACACTTCCTTATTTACTGCGGTGACATTTGCCAATCAGTATAAGTGCAAATTTTGACAGAACATTTCAGAAGCGCTCAGATACTTTTGCCATTCAGACAGTCTGTCGTGGTTGAATTTTAGATTTCAGTTGCAAAGGAATATCCGGAGGTATTAACTGATGCAATGAATGTTCTGTTGCCATTCGGAACCACCTACTTCTGTGAAAGGACGTTTTCATACATAAAGAACAAATACAGAACAAGGCTAGAAGATCTTCGAGTTACCGTCTCCCAAATTAAACCTCGAATTGACATGTAGTGTTCGAAACACAGAGCTTATAATTCGCATTAGTCATAATAAACGCTATTATTCATTTTAAGTGCCAAGTTTCATATCATTTTATGCGAGAAAATTGATAGGGTCAATAATAGTCATAAAATCGATAACTAATTTTATGCTTACTAAATGCGAGAAATTAGAAAAAGAATTTTTGGGTCGCGCTGAAAAGTAGTTGCGAACCCCTGCTCTAGAGTCTTGGTTTATGCGCCGTGTTAAAAAAACATAGCTCGCACCACTGTCCAAAACAATAGGAATAATCGCAGCCATAACCATAGATGCCATTCTCAAACCATTTTTCGTGGCATCACTGAGCAGCATTTTCTGGCGATTAACTTCTCCCACTAATGGCCGACTGTATGCCTTTTCTTCCCAATCATCAAGGTAATACTAAAAATTCTTTCTCAAGCCTTTCTAATCTTTTATCATAGATGTTGTAAAAAGGCTGAGTTTTCTCTTCTCACTGTCTTGATCATGCACATGGAGACGCATACAAGTGGAGCAGATGTCGGGTCGTGTACCAGCATAAGAATACGCTATTTCACATTGAGAGCTGATATAACTGTATTGATACAATACCAAAATTAAATTCAACAAAAATACAACTAAATAGTATATCTGACTAAATGCAAATATATCTCACCTTAATTTCAAGGAAATTCCGCCATCATCTTTTATTTCTGGAACACTTCTGGGAATCCTTGACTTATTTGTGGAAACAATATCATAACCCAAACACGGGGTGAAATCAACTAAGTTTTCAAGTAGGATTGAAATTGGGACTGCTCTCAAACTTAGTGCCGATGATATTGTGGAAGAATAAACTCCAACAAAAGCACAAGAAAAGGGAAAATTGTTTTTGGTCAAATTGGCAAATTAGAAGGCTTATTTCCGGTGTCGCATGTAAATTGTGATTAGAATAGTATGTGGAATGAGCTTTGCATGTATTGATTTGATGTATTCTCCAGTTTTTCAAGGTGATACTTTCAAAAGCTGAAATTATTTCATTAATGGAATTGTAGTTAATAATTGCAGATTGAGATGATGAAGGTGGACAGTCATTTATAGATGAATATTTGGGAACAATTCTTCTTGGTGGGCAGGAAGGTACTTCATGTGATGTTCTTGGCAAACATTTTGTGGGTGATGCTCCAAACTTAATCCAACTTTTTTTATTGGCCCTTTGAATATCTTCATCCTTGAAATTATCAGCACAAATTCTAGCTTTTCCATCCTCAACTTTGCTTTTAAAGTTAGGAGAGTAGCGATATTTAAACACAATCTGGGTGCAATAGAAAATTACTTAGCAATTAATATGTCAAAATCATAAGTGAGTTAATAAACACTAGACACTAGAATACAATAAGGCACAAAATAAACAGTGAAAACTCATTACATCACATAGGCTACAGCAGTAGCACCGGTAGTAAAATTGCGGATACCAAAAAAAACGTGATAAAACTTTTGTGTCCTTTCTTTTGAAGGCATTCCAAATTTCCTTTTCTTACCCTCCGGGACACAATGCTTGCTTGGAACCATATTTACCTCTGTAACTAAAAAACGAATGGTAAAGGCACCGGAGTTACCAGTAGCTTAGGATAGGATTCTAGACTACCTTTTCCGCATATTCAGTCTATATTTAAGTTCAATAATAATAGTTTGCCTTTTTCATTCAGTTTCCTATATCTTCTCAACTTCGCGCAACTTGAAATGTGTAAACATGGCCTGAAAACAATCACACATCACCTGCATCAAACTGTCTGATTCCACTGTCCAGCAGACGACAGGGGTGTAAAACCCACGCCAACACCAGATGTCGCTGTTAACAACTCGGTGTCATGCAAAAAAGTCTGCATACACCACACATGACACACGGTTATTTCTAACCTTTGTGGATCCGTCGAACACCTTGCGTTAGTATAGAATAGAACTTATCCCGAGGGGAGGAGGCTGAGTTATAAGGGTTATCTTTAAAGGTGGGTTATCGCGAAATATTGTGTGGCGAATTTGATTCTATCGATTCTATGTAATTCCTGAAGATTTTTGGCGTTACCGCTCACATAAAGTGGAATTCGTTGGCAAAACACGAATTTTTAAAAGTTAACCCCACAGAAATTCAGTAAGTCAAAATAAACTCATACTTATCGAGTCGATTACTTTGTTATTTTAACCACTACATTAAATTTCGTCACAAATACAACACACTGAAATTTGTTAAAACAGAATGTCACAAAAAAGAGAAAGTATTAGCATTAGGACGATTAATTAGATTTTAGATTCACGTATCTTATCTGGGATGGTCTTCATATTCCTCAATGTGTTTTGTGCATGAAAACCTTTTCAAACAGTATCATGAAACCAACGACTAACATACGCATGAAACCTACACCACCTTCGAGACAAGATTGAATACTGCCATACATGCATCTTTTGCAATTGCTTTGTATTTGGCAAAAGCCAAAAAGCACTCTCCCGAAAACTTGATTGTATATTCATTGGAATGTGTGACGTTGATACTTGGAGTGAAAGCACCTCAAACAATGCAACAAGTTTCGCTGTCTAAGGAGAAAAAAAATCTTGAATCAATGAAATGTATGACAATATTAGGAGCATGATGATCTCCCGCCACTCTCCCCTTTCTCATTGAACACCACTCTCCCATTTTTTGTCACATCAAACTGAAGCTTAATGCAGAGGAGAAGATGAGGTAAATTAGGGTGACCATATTTTCAATTCCTGAAAGGAGGACATATTGTTCGGTAGAACCACATCTCACCTGTGCCCGAGATATACATTTTATATCTACTAAATTCTCTAGGATTAAAAATTAGACGATGTGACGACAATGAGTTAATGCATTTTTGTCTTTATTAAAAAAAACCATCTGCGGAATAATCGATTTATTTTTCCTTAGACCACGAGTATTTGGAAGTTCCTCTAATCCTCGTCAACATTGCTGGGTTATTTTTTGCAATATCGTAAAACTGGCTGCAAGAAATGTCGTTAAAATTGTAAACTAAAGTTATTATATCCAATTAAAGAGTCCAGCTGCACACTAACACAAATGTATTTCTGTAACGTTTCGTCCGACCAGAATCAGACTTTCTCAGACAAGCAGTTTACAAATTGTTGTAAACTGCTTGTCTGAGAAAGTCTGTCTCTGCTCGGACGAAACGTTACAGAAATACATTTGTGTTAGTGTGCAGCTGGACTCTTTAATTGGATAGAATAGTCATGTTTATGCCTGCTACAATATCCTTGCAGTATACGCATACGGATCCACTAGCATTAATGCATAGAAAAAAGATAGGAAGTTAGTCTCGCGCAACCCAACTCAAATTTAAAGTTATTATGCTAGCAACAGACTCAAATAGGAAGTTTTCGCGTTCTGTCGACCATTGTGGTTGCATTAAAGAGAAATGCGCTCAACGTTGGTGTTCTGCGCAATAATGCTGAAGTAATATTGTGCGATCTTTATCAGTTCGCTGTAAAAGTCGCTGGTGTTTCAGGATTTGAAATATTCTGTCCATCTTTCATGTGCCATGAGCTTACAGTAGGAAACTGAATTGAAGTTGCTTTTCTACGAACTTGCATAAGTTTTGGTATTGGTCGAATAACTTGGCTTCATCAATCGAAACATTCGCAGGCAGATACTCAACGCACGGTTCAACAATTCTCCACTCGGTGTTTTGGATCAGAAGCATCCAGTCAAAGCATTTGAATTCCTCAAAAGAAGCTGTCCATTTTTCTAGGTATTGTACGCATGACTCGTACAACAAAGCCACATCTGAGAGAAATACATCACATTCACTGCCATTTCCTTCGTCTCTGAGTCTACGCAATTCAGATTTAATTTGGATTTGTATGAACATGTGTTTTTCTCTTTCTTCAATCGTAGATTTAACAGTGTTAAGACAAGCTTGGATTTCAATAATTAAGGCCTTTTTTCAATATGCCTAATTTGGTCATTAAACACAGCAACAAACGATTGCAAATGTTTTAAATACAACTCATTCACAGGATTTTCATAAAATCTTTTTAGAGCAACAGGTGGCTTTTGAATAGACCGGAAATATGATTGCAAGGCAGGGTACAACTGAATCATTCTAGATAAACTTGGATAAAGTGATAGCCATCTGGTCACGCAGTGGGAAAGTAGTTTTTTTATACTGTGTATCCACAAAGTTACAATAATCCTTCAGTTCTTCTGTTCGTACATTGTATATGCTGAAATATTGGTACGTTTTATAAATAATATTTTCCACATGAATGCTCGTCTGATTGATTCCATGGTGTAAACAGTTATTCAAAACATGTGCAGGGCATCCTACCCGAATCAAATTTGGCGGGTCGATTTGCAATCGAGAAAATACGTTATTGCCCTTTCTAAAAGCCAATCCGCCAAAGTTAGTATTACAGTTATCGGCAGTAAATGAAACACATTTCTCAAACAGGTTCATTTTGGTCAAAGTTTCTTTAATTTCATTCGTAAATTTTTCTCCTCGAGTAACTCCAATTGATTTTCTTTGGCGGTTGCATTTCGCTCACTATAAGATGAAGCTGCAGTATCGACTGGTTCTGGATTTTTAATGGATGGTTCTATTTTATGACGTTTCACTTCCTTATGTGCACTTCTATCTTTTGCGCTGCTGTATCTGAAAAGTCTTTTTAAATTGGATTTACTTGAGGCGGCCGAATATACAAAAATTGACGGAATATAGTCTGGATGGCAGGTAAATCTAACTGGTTTGCCTGAAAAATAAATTTTCTTGCAACTTTTTTGACATGACAGCAACTCAGATACTTTAAATATTTCAGTTTATTTACCAATAAAGAAGTGCAATGGTACAGTGCATAAGTGTAAGTCAGGAAAAAAAAAACAATGAAGGGCATTATAATGATTTAATTACATATCAGGAATTGAGAAATTTCAGAAATAAAAAAAAAACTATCGGCAAACACATGAATACTGATAAAGTGCACTGATAAAGTGCTTACCGCAAATGTAAACATTTGGGACCGTTGGATTCCACGGCGTCCCATCGCTGTTATTTCTGCGACATGTGCTGTCCACCTTTGTCGCCGTTCACTTTCACACTTCCTGTTCGGGAACCTGAAATATCCAATATCCTTATTGATATTCGCTTTGTACCTGCATCCAAAAGCGATACAATATATGGGCATCTTGCACTGGTACGTCGAGCAGTAGACAAAAATAATACAATAAATCAGTAGCATCCGTTAACGCGTATACCTGCAGTTTTTGTCGCCTGGTAACAGTTGGCCACGCATGAATGCGTCAGAATTACAGAATTGTTGAAGATTTCTCATTCGTGGTACTTTTAACTTCAAGCAACTTAGACTGCAACCCACCATTTTTCCAGTCATAAGATTGTACAACTATCGGGAAAAGTTTTGTAGCCCTATGATTACTGTCGTCTGTCGCTACTCCGAGATACAAAATATCATGTTGTTGAATATTATTTAAGGCATGTTGAACCGGTTGAACAGTCATCGGGGCTAGAATATTATTCACAATAGCTTCAACTTTCGTTCGAGCACAAGAATATTTTTTTGAAATACCGGTATTTGAATCTGGAAAAATCTTCTTCATTAGATTTGACGTACTCTGACGAGGTCTGTAGCCTAACTCTGGTAATGTTTCACACAGTGAAACGCCATTGTAGCGTTGGCGACTGCGACATTTTCTTCGATTCGAGTCCCAGGCTCACAAAAGTAGTCGGTCACTTTGGCTGATGTATGCTTGGAACTCTCAACGTGCAACTGTAAACTGAGTTTGCCTTTATTCGCCACAGAAATGAAAGTACCGTAGCCACAAGAAATGCACTCCGCTTCGCTGTCAGTTCGACCTTTTCTAAAGCATGGGTACTTTTGCTTTAGTTCCTGAGTGAACTGTTAAATTGCTTGGAACTCTCAACGTGCAACTGTAAGCTGAGTTTGCCTTTATTCGCCACAGAAATGAAAGTACCGTAGCCACAAGAAATGCACTCCGCTTCGCTGTCAGTTCGACCTTTTCTAAAGCATGGGTACTTTTGCTTTAGTTCCTGAGTGAAAAAAGTTTTCCTTTTTGGCATAATTTACTGGGTTTTCAGGCGCAAGGATCTGCCACAATCGAAACTTCACGGGATTAGGCATACAAAGTGAAGTGACGTAAAATATAATTGCACAACAAATGCGATTTTTACGCCACAAATGATTGTGCAGATCAAGCATGCATTTAACCTAGAGTAACCCCGCATGCTAACATAACGCAATGCATTGCTTGTCATATCTAGGGATGTAAGTTTTAGAATTTCG